AAAACAAACAAAAATTAAAAATATTTTTAAATTAAGAATATACTAAGCACAACATTAGTCTATGAAAAATGAACTAATAAACAAGCCTTTCTAATTAAGTGGACTCCATCCTTGTTCTTAAAAAAGATAGCCTCCCTTTGTCCGAGTAGGGAAAAAAAAGTACCTAAATTACAGAAAAGATGACATACCTAAAAAATATGTAAACCAGAAGCAAATTTTTAAAACAGCTTACACACTTGAAATACTGACAACAAATTATGGAAACATCACAAAATGCTTTTTTTATAGCTTGTTAACAGCTCATCCACATTCTGATTGCCCTAGCTAGCTAGTCGTTGGGCTGCCTGATAACAACTATCTAAAACATGAGTACAAACTACTTACTACCTGCATTCCCCAAAAGACTGAGCCCTGGAGGAGTTACGGAAGCCAAGGTGCAAATACCAACACTGCAGCTTACTGTCACGGTAGCAATCAAGTTTCCTAACTTTTCTAAGCCCCAGTTTCCTCATCTGTATTATGAGATAATATCTCACTGATAAGGTGGTTGTGAGGATTAATACATTTGTGTATTCAAAGTTAGCACAGTCTTAACATATTCCACTTTGAATACATAAAAGGACTGTGACTGGGTCTATCATAACATAAACACATGTGGACTGTTTACTATTAAAAAGCTCAAGTACTTTAAATGGTAGGAGTGATGTTCCACCAGGCAGATTTATATGTTAAACTGACAGTAGGTTATAAACAAGCATGCTGGAACATTAGGAAAGCTAACGTAAAGTTATGAGTCCATAAAGTTATTACAGCCCTGCAGTAGCCCTTGACAACAAACAGGTTATTACAATACAATGAAGTTATGAAGGTCATAATGAACTTGCATCATCTGAGGAAGTTCCAAATCACTATGCTTTGATTATGACGCCAGGAAATGTATAAATTAATTTTTGAAAGATTTCTATCTGAAATTAGTAAACAAAAAACCTTTTTTTAATAGCAATACTCATAAATATGCTCTATATATTCAAAATAACTGGGTTTTTTTGTAATTTGTTTTTGAGACAAGGTTTCACTCCCATCGCCCAGGCTGGAGTGCAGTAGTAAGATCTCAGGTCACTACAACCTCCGCCTCCTGGGCAGAAGTCATTCTCCTGCCTTAGCCTCTCAAGTAGCTGAGACTACAATCATGGGCCACTATGCCCAACTAATTTTTGCATTTTTTGTACAGAAAGGGTTTCACCATGTTGCCCAGGCTGGTGTTGAACTCCTGAGTTCAAGCGATTTACCCACCCAGCCTCCCAAAATGCTGGGATTACAGGTATGAGCCTCTGTACCCAGCCCAAAGCAACTGCTAAACATCAATATTTTATATATAGATAGTAATAATTACATAATTGTCAATAAATATATCAAGAAATAAGCATTGTAAATGTTCTTAAGACTAGTTTAATCTACTTAGATAATTTTTCTATTAAATAACTTTTTAAATGAAAAGCTTTTTTGTATAATATGAACAATCTCATGGAAACATAGTATATTACTTTAAAATTCTATTCCTCTAGAATTCGGTAAACTGTACATTTATCTTAATTACTCCTTTCAAGGCAATATAGATATTTGCCATAGATAGTCCTTCCCTCATTCCATTCCCCTTAACTACACCAACATGAGAAAACTGGCTATCATCTGAGTTGTCTGGTCTGGAAGGGAAGTCTTTTCTAACGTTCCAAACCTGGGGAAATTTGGGTAAAATCAGCTTAGATCTATTTAAAAATAGCCCTCCTAGGTACTTAGCCCAAATGAACAGAAACATGTTTTTGGAAAATACAGCTGCATAAATGAACCTCCAAGTAATTATGCCGAGTCATGCAGATCACAGACACAATCTTTCCTAAACCTGTGGGTTTAAGAAGCTCTATTCTATTCAGAGTAGTGACAAAGCCTCTGCCTGAACATGCCTAATGACAAGTCCAAATTCACACACCTCCAGGCTCCCCTACTCTGCCAACACAAAACAAAGGTAAGGGAGAGTTAAGGGTTGGAAAAGACAACTCAACCAGTAAAATACAGGTGAATACTGAAAAATACTGGTGGGAGAATTAACCATGCAAAGGAAAAAGGGCCATGTTTTCCTCCAAAACTGAAGAAAAAGAGATTTGGGAATCAGTGTTAAATAATTTAAAAGATTACTTACCACCAAAGTGGGTGCTGTCAACAGTCCCCAAGCAAAAAACTCCAAAAAGATGACGATAACTGCATGATAAACACTAGGAGAACCTATTCCTTGAGGCTATAAAAACAAGATTTTTAAAAAGTTAACAAAGAGTTAACATTCCAGAATTATTAACAATAACAATGATGTAACAGTCAATAAATATTAAGAACATATAGGTGCTGGGCACTGTGCCAAACATCTGTACTGTGTCTTCAAAGTGAGAGGGACAGACAAAGCAACTAAATTCATTACCATATGCACAGTATGCAGTTGAAACATATAGAGTCCAAGGGAACTTGGGAGGTGGGAATATCAGACTTTCAGGAGGAAGGCTGAAAGGACATAATAGAGTTAGACAGGCCGAGGTATAGGGTGGGAAAGATAGCTCAGCCTATATAAAGGTTCTGAGGCTTGAGGCATTGTGGGTCTCACATATCTAGGACAGTACAACCAGTGCATGGGCTGCATCTTGGGTGCATTGAAAGATGAGCTTCAGGTACTCAAAGACCAGCTTCCATGTTAAGAAGTCTATATTTAATTCTGAAGACCATGGGGAGCCACTAATAGATATTGACTAACACAATCAGTTGAAAGTTTTAAAGATTATTTTGGCAAAACAAAACATAAATGAAAAGCAAGTGGCAAAAATATAAACATGATACCAACATGGCTCAAAAGCAGAACAATCCCCAGAGAAAGTATATAAGAGATTTGGAACTTGATATACATGAGAAAGAAAATACAAAATTAAATTTATACTGCTGTTAGAGATGTCTTAAGAATCACTTCAGTGTTATATTAAAGTAGAGAAGGTTAGCACGTCCCTTGACAAGGATGGAAGAGGCCCTCGGCCTGACAACATGCTTACCATTAAGGCACTGCCAACTATCTCGGTAGCATTTAACCATCATATTTCTCATCTAACATGGGATAAATATCCTAAATATACAAGGAACTGAAACATCTCAACAGCAAAAATCACACAACAAAATAATCTGATTTAAAAATAAGCAAATGATCTGAATAGACATTTTCCAAAAGACGACACACAAACAGCAAACGGTTATACAAAAAAATGCTCAACAGCATTAATCATCAGGGAAATGCAAATCAAAACCAAAATGAGGTATCATCTCACTCAAGTTAGAATGGCTACAATCAAAAAGATAGAACAGAACAAATGCTGGTGAGGATGCAGAGAAAAGGGAACTATCTTATATACTGCTAGTGAGAATGTAAATTAGTACAGCCACTATGGAGACTAGTATGAAGGTCCCTCAAAAACTACAAATAGAACTACTGCATGTCCAGTAATTCTACTAATGAAAATTTATCCAAGGAAAGGAAATGATTACGCTGGAGAGACATCTGCACCCCCATGTTTACTGCATCACTATTCACAATACCCAAGATACGGAATTAACATAGGTGCCTAAAAAACAGATGAGTGGATAAAGAAAATCTGGTATTATACACAGCATGAGATACTATTCAGTCATAAAAAATGAAATCCTGTCATTTGTGGCAAAATGGATGGAACTGGAGAACTTTATGTTAAGTGAAATAAGCCAGGAACACAAAGTTAAAACACTGAATATTCTCACCCATATGTAGAGGCTAAAAAAAGTTGATCTCATAGAAGTAAAAAGTAGAACAGAGGATACCAAAGGGTGGGAAGGATAGGGAGAGATTTGTTGAAGGCTATGAAACTAAAACCAGATAGAAGGAATAAGTTCTATAGTTTTACACCATTGTAGGGTGACTACAGTTAATAATATATAGTTCCAAACAGCTGGAAGGATATTGAATGTTGCCAACACAAAGAAATGATAAATGTTGTAGATATGCTAATTACTCTGATCTCATCACCACACTTTTTACATATTGAAACATCACTATGTACCCCACAAATATGTACAATTTGTCAATTAAAAATAAAATCTATTAAAAAGTTAGAATTTTAAAAATTTATCTCAGTTTTTAAATTTATTTTTTTGAAATAGAGTCTTACTCTATTGCCCAGGCCGGAGTGCAATGGTGTGATCTCGGCTCACTTCAACCTCCACCTCCGGAGTTCAAACAATTCTCCTGCCTCAGCCTCCCAAATACCTGGGATTACGCATACCCACCACCAAGCCCAGCTAATTTTTTTGTATTTTTAGTAGAGACAAGGTTTCACCATGTTGGCCAGACTGGTCCTGAACTGCTGAACTCAGGTAATCTGTCTGCCCCGGCCTCCCAAAGTTCTGGGATTACCGGTGTGAGCCACTGTGCCTGGCCACATTTCATATTTTAAAGGGAAGTATAAACTTGCTAATAAGCAGCTTATAATATTATTTATTTTTATGTTTTGAGACAGGGTCTCACTTTGTCACCAGGCTGGAATGCAGTGGCACAGTCTCAGATGACTGCAGCCCCGACCTCCAGGGCTCAAGTGATCCTCCCCCCTTAGCCCACCAAGTAACTGGGACTATAGGTGTGTGTCACCATGGCCAGCTAATTTGTTTCCTATTTTTTGTACAGATGAGATTTCGCCTTGTTGCCCAGGCTGGTCTCGAACTCCTAAGCTCAAGTGATCCACGCGCCTCAGCCTCCCAAAGTGATAAGATTACAGACTTGAGCCACTGTGTCCAGCCCATAATATTTAGTCACCACTTAACAAGTGTGTATAACAGAAGGACAAAACTTTCTTTTCTTTCTGTTTTGTAGACAGGATCTCACTCTGTTGCCCAGGCTGGATGGAGTCCAGTGGCACAATCATGGCTTACTGCAGCCTCAACCTGCTGGGCTAAAGCAATCCTCCCAACCTCAGTCTCCCAAGGGGCTGGGACTACAGGCACAAATTACCACACTTAGCTATTTTTTTTTTTTTGGTAGAGATGGGGGTCTCACTATGTTACCCAAGCTGGTCTCAAACTCCTGGCCTCAAGCGATCCTCCCACCTCAGCCTCCCAACAAGCCAGGATTACAAGCATGACCCACGGCAACTAGCCATGGTTAGATTTTCTAGATAAAAGTCTAGAACTCAAACAATTAAGATATGTAAATGTTTTCGTGTGTACCATGACAATGTTTTCTAGATAAAAAGTCTAAAACTTAAACATTTAAGATATGTAAACGTTTTTGTGTGTTAACAGGTACACATTACAATGCCATACCTAAGCTTTAAAGTATATTCAACAGCCTTATATAAAAATATTGTGCTTGGATTTCTCTATGTGCTGAAAATGATGATGTATTATTTTTAATACTGTCACAATGCATTAGCATTTAAAATAATAGCTCTTCCAACCTACAGAATTTAAGCACCTGAACACCCCCTCCGTAGAACTTGCAATTGAAGAACTTCAAACAAGGGGAATAGGAAACTGAAGAACCATGACTGATGAATCTCTACAGGTTTCATTCACTCAACAAACATTTACAGAACACTTACTATATAACAGAGGTTCCAGGATTACCAAAACAGGACACACTCCCTGATCTCAAGTTGAGTCTAGAGAGGAAGAAACATAACTATCTGCTTAGTATAAATACAATAAGAGACATGTACAGATTAGGAGGCAAGGCAAGAGAATGGCAAGAAAAGGAAGTGGCATGACAGTCACTTCTGTGAAAGTCAAAATGAAGCAGATAAGGGTCATGACAGTTAAAAGCTACTGGAGAATAAAGTTCTAGTCATGGAGTGAAAGAGAGGGAGGCAGAAGAAGCAGCCTCTAAACTTTGTTAAGGAATTTGTCATCTTTACTCTAGAGACACAGGAAACCACTGAAGGGTTTCAAGCAAGAAAATGGTTTGATCAGATCTGCATTGTTCAATACCTCACTCTGGTGATTTCCTAAAGGATAAAATGGAAGAGCAATGTACATGCAAAAGGAAGCTATTTGAATTAGCTCAAAAAAGAGATGAGGGCATAAAACGGTGGCATAGTATGAATGCTGGAAGGGAGAGAATGGATTAAGGATTCAGAATTTGAAACTGGAAGGACGTTGATAAACAGCAGGAGGGAGAATCAAGAACAACTTCTGCGTGTTTAGCTTGGTTGTCTAGCAGTAATTGCTAGTGGCTTCCTGGTACCTTCCCCACGAGGCTTGGATTTACTTCAGGTCCTATCTACAAAACTGCCCTCTTTACTTGAAACATTTGTATTGTCTTTGAGCACTGATTAAAACAATTAGCAGCAAATGTAGTATCTGAAACCACCAGAGTAGATGAGGTTATCAGGACTGTAAAGCGTGAAAAGAGCAGTGAGCTAAGACAGAACCCCAAGAAGCAAGTAGCAGGCAGAGGAAAATAATGAAGGTTTTTCTTCTTTGATAAAGAAAAGGGGAAGAAAAAAGAAACAGTGAGAAAAGTATCAGGACAGTGAAGAAAATATCAGGAGAGTGAAGAAAATACAGTGTCACAGATGACAATGGAGGAGTTTCAGGAAGGAAGAGGTAATGATTAGCATCAAATGGAACAAGCATAGTAATACAAGGTCAAAAAATGGCCACAGGAAGCCGAGCATGGTGGCTTACGCCTGTAATCCCAGCCCTTTGGGAGGCCAAGGCGGGCAGATCACTTGAGGCCAGGAGTTCGAGACCAGCCTGGCCAACGCGGCGAAACCCTGTCTCTACTAAAAATACAAAAATTAGCTGGGCGTGGTGGCATGTGCCTGTAATCCCAGCTACTCAAAAAGACTGAGGCAGGAGAATTGCTTGAACCTGGGAGGCGGAGGTTGCAGTGAGCCGAGATCGTGCCACTGTACCCCAGCCTCAGCAACAGATTGAGACTCTGCCTGAAAAAAACAAAAAAATGGCCATAGGATATGGTAAGCTTTAAACCTGTTGTGTTCACCACCACATATATCCAGCCCCTAGCAAAAAGCTTGGTAGAACTTCTCAGGGCTTAAAGCATGCTAATTTATATTAATTTCCAAGAAAATATGGTATACCCTGTTTTCCAAACGTGACAATGGAATCCTTCTTTGACATGACTAGAGCGTATCTCTTGGACATTTGCACTCCTTGGAAAAGACTTTGGGAAATGCTGATAAAAAAATAAGATGGTAATTATATTTAACATATTTATAAATATACACACAGAGCAGAAAAGACAGTAGAAAATAAAGTGTTAAAAGTGGCTCTCAGCAGGGCATGATGGTAAATGCCTTTAAGTCCCAGCTACTTGGGAGGCTGGGGCAGGAGGACTGCTTTAGCCCAGAAGTTTGAGGCTGCAATGAGCTATGATCATACCATTGCACTCCAGCCTGGGTGACAGGATGAGACCCTGTCTCTGGGGGAAAATTTTTTTTTTAAGTGTCTCTGTGTTTGTTTGTTTGTTTACTGAGGCCAAGTCTCGCTCAGTCGCCCAGGCTGGAGTGCAGCAGCGTGATCTTGGCTCACTGCAACCCCTGACTCTCGGGTTCAAGCAATTCTTGTGCCTCAGCCTCCTGAGTGGCTCTGTTAAAATGAAGCTTACTTAATCAGTTGAGGAGAAGGTCAGGGAAGGCTTCCTAAAAGACAGGCAGTACTATCTAAGGTGAGACCTCAAAGTCCAGTGGGAAAGGTGTCAAGATTGTCAGTTGTACACCAGTGGGAGAGGGGATATGGTGACCAAGAGTATCTGAGATAAAGAAAACAGAACATGCAAAGGCCAGAAGACAGGATATATTATTGCTTATTTCAGTATCTAAGGATGAAAGAGGTAATAACTGAAGCTGAAAGGTGAAAAGCAGTGACTTGAAAAGGCTTACAAACAAACACAGAGACAGAGTTTCACCATGTTGCCCAGGCTAGTCTCCTGGGCTCTAGGGATCCTCCTGACTCCGCCTTCTGAAGTCTTGAGATTATAAGCATGAGCCACTGTGCCCAGTTGAAAAGGGCCTTTTAAGTCACATTAAGGCCTTTTAACCTGAAGGCAGCAGGAAAACAT